TTAATAGCGAGTGAATATTTAAAGTCAAATAAAAAAACTAAAAATTAAAATATTGTTCAAGTCCAAAGAAATAATTTACCACCGTGTAGATGTAGAAAAACCGAGAGAGGATTGTTAGCTCCCTTACTTTTCAATTTCCAACGTCCCCATAAATACGATTGTATATATATAACAGTATATATATATATATATTTAATACTCCCTCCGTTCATTTACAATCATTTACAAGGGTTACATTTACTTTTTGGCGCGGTATTTAAGAAATAATAGTATTTTAATTATAGTGAGTAGTTAAAAGTCGTGTAATGATATTTTTGCCCTTACTTTTTTTATGTAAAAGTAATGATGTGATGTAAAGTAAGAGTATTTATGGAAAAAAATAGGATATTTAATGAAATGTAAACTTTGTAATTGGATGTCCCAAAATAGAAACATGTAAACTTTGTAAGCGGACGAAGGGAGTATATCAATATATACAAATAATATATTCCCTACCTCCACAAACTAATGTCCTACTTTCTTATTTGGAACGTAAAAAATGATTGTCCTATTTTTATTTTTATACTCCCTATGTCTCATAACAAAGTATCTATTTTTCTATTTTAGTTTGTTATTCATTTCCTTTTTTAGTAATTGAACTATTTACCTAACATTACAAATACCCTTACAACTTACAATATATTACACAAATGCCATTACCTTTATATCACACGTACTAATAAGGTTATTTTAGTCATTTCTATTTTATTCCTACTATATCCCAATATAATACTAATATTTTTAAAACTATGTGTAAAAAACAAATGAATATTTAGTTCCGAGACGAAGGAAGTACATAAAATTTATCTTTTTATCCTTACTTTATTTATCTTTTTTATATTTATACACAAAATAAAGAGCTATTTTATCAATTTATAATTAAAAAACTAATTATTTGAAAAAACGTGTAAATATTACTTAAAAGCTTTAGAAAATAGCGGAGGGAGTATTTTACGTGAGAAATATGAAAATAATTTAGGATGTCTTTCTTTACAAAGGGCACCTGACTCACACCAGCTCTTGCTCGGCCGACAGTGGCTGACCTGGTGCAACTTTTTTATTTTTTCTTTTATTTATTTAAATTCGAAAATTATAGGGCTTTGTCCACGTGCATAGACCCTTGTATTCTAATTATTTGATATTTATTTATATTTTAATTTTGTCCATTTTACCGTATATGTAGGAATTTAATTAAAATATAATTAGTAAATAGTTAAAAAGTATATTAGTAAAAATAATTATGATATAATAAAATTAATTATATATTAGGATTAAAATGACTAAATAATTTAATTATGAAATTTAAAATGTGATTGAAGTGTATAATTATAATAAAAAAAATGACAAATTATGTGAACGGAGTAAAATGAAAAATATGGACATTTTACGTGGAATGAATGGAGTATATATTAGAGAATAAAATTTTATAATACAAATGAATAATTTTTTTTTTAAAAAAATGTATATGTTGATATAATATAAATTCATAATAAAATTATACAATTATTAATTTTTTAATTAAATTTAATATATATTTATATTATTATATTCATTATTTATCAAATAAATACATATCAAAAGTGTCCAAATTTAAACCAAACCTAAATACAACAAAAATACTTTTTCCGTCATTTAAGAATCTATTCATTTTTCTATTTTGGTCCATCTCATAACAAAGTATCAATTTCTATTTTTAGTAATTGTACTATCTACCTAACATTACAAATACTTTTCCAATTTACAATATATTACACAATTGTCATTACCTTTATATCATACAATACTAATAGGGTCAATTTAGTCTTTTTACATTTATTTCTACTTTATCCCAATATAATACTAATATTTTTAAAACTCCGTGCAAAAAGCAAACGAATATATAGATATGGAACAGACGAAGTACATAAATTCAAATATACTTAGGGTGTGTTTGTTTGGGGGTTTTGATTTTAAGTTGTGATTTAAATAGTAAAAATTTTGAATTTGAATAGTTGTATGATGTGATATAAATAGGTGTTGATGTGATGTTTTGAATGTAAAATTAATTTTTAGTATAATATAAAAAATAAAAAATAGGTATTTGATTTGATATTTTTTTTAAAAAAATAGAATAAATAGTGAATTGAATATCCAATCCCCCAAACAAACCTACCCTAAAATTCAAATTCAAATTTCTTTTAAGACACCCAAAAAACACATTGTTAATATACAGAGGGTTATAGTGGAAAAGAAAATACTCCCTCCGTCCCACATAATTGTCCCTATTTTTTATTTTCGTCCGTCCTACATAACTTGTCATTTCTATTTTTGGAAATATAATTATGCACTTTAATCGCATTTTAAATTTTAAATTTTAAATTTTAAATTTTATAATTTTCTTAATTTTAATTAAACTATTTACTTACGTTAATCTTAGTTTATAATTATTTTTACTAATATACTTCTTAATTACTTACTAATTATATTTTACCTAAATTCTTATATCTACAGTAATACACCCATATTCCATGGAACGGAGAGAGTAATAATAATAATAAATAAATAAACCAAAACCCGTGAGGAAGCACAGCCAAAAACCCCACACAAGCTTCTACATAATGGAGTACGACACGACACTGATGGACTCTTCAGGGCATCCACAACGGGAGACGCTTGTTGAGAAGCGCCTCCCACGTCATCATTTATTAAATAAAAAAAAAATTAAAACACCAATTAACATAAGAAACGGTACATTGCGAGTGTACCGTTTCTTCCAATTTTTGTGGGCCATGGTCCATTTTCTTATTCAATAAATATTAAAAATAATATTTATAATATATACTTTTTTTATTTATATTTATAATAATTTATTTTATTTAAAATATTATATTCTAATTTTGTTATATAAAATTTTATTTAATATTTATAATTTAAAATATATTTTTCAAGAAATAAAAAAATTAAATATTTAACTTTAATTATTATGCAAAGTGTGAAATTATTATTTTTATTTATTTATGCTAAATAATTGTTTTATTTTTATTAAATATTATAAGAATAAAATATGATTGCAAAATATAATTTTATTTTATAAATAGATAAAATATTTAATGAGGTGGAAAAAGTAAAAATTTTAAAGGGTTCTTTGATGTGAATGTAAAATATAGTTGGAGTTCTTCGTGACGTGGCGGAGAGAGAAACTGACGTGGCACAGGAGAGAGAATGAGAAGAAACCCTGGATGGGTTTCTGTGTTGTGGATGGCCTGAGAAGCCTTAGCCTTCTCACTCATCTCTTTGCATGCATTTGTCTTATAAGACCTAATTTATAAAATACTTTCGGCTGTTCCAAAAGTATAGTCTTATAATCTTATCGTGCTGAGTACGAAATTTAAAAAATATTAATATTATATTAATAGTTGATAAAAAGTATATATGATCTTTTTGTTTTGTAAGTATCTTAGTGTAAAAAATAGTGATAATTGTATATTAATAATGAAAAAATAAAAATAATTTTTATAATAATATAATTATTTATAAAAATAAGACTATTAGAACAAACGGTTGGAATTGAGAGAGTATTAGATTAAACAAAAAAAAAAATTTATTTAAAACACATTTAACAAACAGTGATACCAAATTTTTATATTATACTCCCTCCCTCCGTCAAGTCAGAAAGTATACACATTTCTATTTTGGGACGTTCAATTACAAAGTAACTATTTTATTAAATATCTCATTTTTTTTACAAATATCATTACTTTACATTACATCATTATTTTTATAGCAAAAAAGTAAAGACAAAAATATCATTTTACTACTTTTACCTACGGATAGAGTAATAAAAAATACATATCTCAAATCAACATCAATATAATATCACCCAACCAACCATCCAACGGCCTAAAATTTCAACAAAATCAAATCGAGTCCCTAGCGATAGGACGGGAGGGTACGTACGAATTAGGATTTGTTATCATAACATAATTAATTAATTAAATTATTAAATAACTCATTCCATTAAAATTAGTTCAGTCTGATGCGATTTTTTTTTTTAAAAAAAATAAATATTTTATTAAAAAAATAAGTATATAATTATTTTTTGGCGCTGTATTTAAGAAATAATAATAATATTTTAATTAAAGTTAATTGTTAAAAATAGTGTAATGATATTTTTGTCTTTACTTTTTGGTGTAAAAGTAACGATTTGATGTAAAATAAGAGTATTTGTGGAAAAAAATGAAACATTTAATAAAATATTTATTTTATAATTGGACGTTTCAACGTAAAAATATATATACTTTATAGCTGGACCTATGTAGTAGATGATTAAGAGTATTTTTGAAAATTTAGTTAAAAAATAAAATAAATAAAAAAAAATATAATAAAATTAATAGTATATATTGTAAATAAATACTCCCTTCATCCCACATAATTTGTCCATATTTTTTATTTTCGTCCGTTCCACGTAACTTATCCTTTCTATTTTTAGAAATATAATTATGTACTTTAATAGCATTTTAAATTTTAAAATTTATAATTTTCTTAATTTTAATTAAACTATTTACTTATCTTAATCTTAATTTATAATTATTTTTACTAAATAATAATTATTTTTACTAATATATTTTTTAATTATTTATTAATTATATTTTACCTATGTTCCCTTTGTGTATAATAATACATCTATATTATATGGGACGGAGGAAATTAAGAAGAAAATGAATAATAATTAATTAAAAATGTGGATGAATTGATTTTATAAAATTAGTGATATAATAATTTAATTGACATAGTAAAAAGTTAAAAGTGAAAATGAATAAGAGGAGGAGTAGGAGTAGGATTGGGAGGAAAGGAAAATCTACTACAAATCTATCATAATGGTCATCTTCTTCGCTGTCGCTGTCATTGTTACTATTTATTACGTATTTCTCTATTTTCTATATTTATATATATATATATATTGACGCTACCACCACGGATACTCGCAGTGCCATACACAGACACGCATCTTCCTTCTCTCTCTAAACAACAATAACAATGGCGGAGCAAGCTGCGGCTGTGGTGTGCGTCACGGGAGCTTCCGGCTACATAGCCTCCTGGCTCGTTAAGCTTCTTCTCCACCGAGGCTACACCGTCCGAGCCACCGTCAGGAATCTCAGTGAGTCACCACACCACACCACACCTCACCTCGCCTAACTAACATATATATGTATATATACATATACGAAAAAACTTGTTCATTGTTGGAAATTGGAATTTTCCATCCAAATTAGGCTCTTCTTTAGATTTACAGACTCTGTTGAAATTAGGTTTAGTTCATCAAACTGTTGTCATACATAGATACGTACTAATTGAGGAAGACATATATGGATGATTCTCAATCTCAAGTCTGCCTTCGACTTAATTGGAGGAATGAATATATTTGAATGTTATGTTGGTAAAAAAAAAACATCCATCAGGTGATCCTCAAAAGGTTGAGCATTTGTTAGCACTTGAAGGTGCTGCTGAAAGGCTGAAATTGTTCGAATCCGACTTGCTTATCCAAGGCTCTTTCGATTCCGTAGTCCATGGATGTCAGGCCGTCTTCCACACTGCCTCCCCTGTTGCTCTTGTAGCTTCTGATCCACAGGTCTCTCTCTCCCTCTCTCTCTCTAATGATATAGATACATACATATATTGTCTCTCTCTCTCTCTCTGTCTATAAAATGGTATATGATTTGTGTGTATGAATGAATGAATCAGAAAGAGCTGATAGATCCAGCAGTGAAGGGGACAATGAATGTTCTTGAATCATGCAAGAAAGCATCCCTAAAAAGAGTGATCATAACATCATCTATGGCTTCTGTTATGTTTAACTACAATCCTTTAGGCCCCGATGTTGTAGTCGACGAATCATGGTACTCCGATACCGCCTTCTGCCGTGACAAAAAGGTAGCTATTAATATCATCATCCCTTGATTGATTTTATATGGTCATGATGAATGGGCAAAACTATATATAATGTTTTCATCAGGAATGGTATGCCCTGTCCAAGACATTAGCAGAGACAGCTGCCCGCGAATTCTCTGAAGCAAATGGACTCGATTTGATAACATTACACCCGGGCTTTGTCATCGGTCCTCTGCTGCAGCCAACCATCAATTTGACCTCACAGAGTTTTGCTGATCTTATCAGTAAAGGTAGTAGTAGTAGTAGTAGTAGTAGTAAGTATCGATTCATTCTTCTTGTTGTTTTGGCATCGTGATTTAATTTAGTATTCCTATCCTATGAGTAGGAAAGGAAGTGTGGCCTAGTGGTGTGTACCGATATGTGGATGTTCGAGACACGGCCTTAGCACACATTCTAGCATTCGAAAACGTTACAGCCCGTGGCAGATATTGTTTGGTCAATAAGGTTATTCGCTCCTCCCAAGCACTGGACATGTTGACTCAAATTTTCCCTTCCCTCGAGCTCGCTACCGTGTAAGTTGAAGTTGGACACATTTGCACTCTATTATTTATTTTAGTGGTTTCCTAAAGACATACATAATGCAGTGATAAGAAGAAGAATGATGGGGTGGGGAATGGCAGCCTTGACGACAACCTTCCTCCGTACAAAGTGTCGAAAGAGAGAGCCGAGAGTTTGGGGGTATGTTTCACACCTCTAGAGGTAACTTTTAAAGACACTGTCGAGAGTTTGAAGGAGAAAGGAATCATCGATTTCTGATGATTCATGATAATTGCATTGCATTGCATGTGTTGAGACTTGAGTTTGTGTATGTATGTGTAGATTTAAGCTTCAGAGACTGTGAAGCTAACCATTCATGATGATATGATAATAATAATTAATTCTATCATATTTTAAATATTCAGTTTTAAATTTAATAGATTTATATTTAGATTTGATCTTATACATATTAGGATTTGAGTTTATCCGAGTCTGTTTTGTATTGTCTATATATATATATATATAGTCTCTTTATTTTGATGATCATAAGATAATTATATTATTTTCCTCAAAAAATTCTAACATGATATCAGAGTCTATTTTAATCATTCAGTAGATATAACCTAGTAATCCGCATTTCTCCAAGTACATTCAACCTGGGATGTACGGTTTCCCAATTTTAAAATTTTTTTCTCTATAGTTTCTAGTTCTTTCTTTTTCTGACTTTGATTTTATCTTAGAATTCTGATTTTGTCTACAATTGAAAACATGTCTGCGCATTTGTTTGCGATCCGTCTAGAAACGTTTCTTCGGAATCATGTTTCTGATTGCAACGAGAGTCCCGTTATTTCCAACGACCTAAAACATGGTCCCTTGGTTTCTTCTTATTTCCTGGAGAATGGCATTGCTAGTATCCAGGCCTGCTCAATATTAATATTAATTGCCTTTTAGCGCATCGAGGGAGGGAGAGTGCTTGAAGAATAATAACAAAAACAACAACAACAATAATAATCGTAATAATACCAGATAGGTAGCCTCCATGTACATAGCCGCTGAAATCTTCGCTAGTATGTTCGCCCGTGAAAAATATTGGTCCGACGGGGGCCTGCGCATAATTAATTAATTAATTAATACTGGGATATAGCAGCATAGCATAGCATAAGCTTTACCTTGATATCGCGTATGAGTTGATGGTTGGCGTTAGCGTAGATGGGGTAATTAGAATAGCTGCCGCACTGGAAGCGATTGTTCCACCAGCGCGGCACGAGAATGTGAGTAGCATCGGGAATATCATCTCCAAACATGCTTCGCAGAACGTCCATGGCTTCTTTCATGGTTTCTTCGTCTGATTGTGCTTCGATTCTTTTCGATTCTCCGTTTGTCAGAGTCACCACCAGAATATTCGACCCTGGGTATGCATTCTCCATGTGCTGGATTGAATGATACAACAACAACATCAAGAATTGAATAGATATATATATATATATGTATGTATATGTAGAAAGAACCTGCCTGCCAAAATGTGTAGTAGCCTCTTGTCTCGTGTGCAAAAATGAAGAACTCTTTTCCAGGACCGCATGGCCAGAATTTGTTTGGGAACTTGAGGAATACTTTGGTGTAAACCATTATCTCACACTTGATCATGGCCTTCGTTTTCCAATTCTGTCACCATTCATTCAACATTAATTTGCATTCTCAAAATACACTATTACTTCTTTTCTTTTGTTGAGAGTCGGAATTTGAATAGTAAAATTTTTAAATTGTAATAGTTGTATTATGTGATATAAATAAGTGCTGATGTGATGCTTTGAATGTAAAATTAATTTTTATTATAATATAAAAAATAAAAAATAAGTGTTTGATTTAATGTAAAACATTTTACTTTAAAAATGGCGTTTTATGCAACATTTTTTTTTTTTTAAATATAAAGATGTACTATACATTTTCTAAAGTATAAAAAAGTTTTACGCTGAATTTTGAAATTACAGGAACTTATCAACAATTTCACCTTAAATAAATAAATACAATGCCACCAAACAGTATGTGCATGGGAAACTTTGCGAGATGAATTTTCACCTAAAATTGTTTCAATATAATAATTTGTTAAAATGATATGAAAATGCAAAGAGCTAGGTATGTTTGTTTTTTTAAATTGTTTGAAGAGATATATATATTTTTATGTGAAGTATAAGAAATTGTGTAGATAATATAAAAATAATAAATATATATAATATATTAAATTTTTTTAGAAAAATTTATTTGTATTTTTTGCTAAAAGAATACACATCTAGTAATCACCCGGTCCAAGTACGTACCAAAAATTCATAATGTAACATTAAAAGATTATATATAACATGAATCACCTAAGAATAATAAACATGAAATGACACTCTTATTATATCTCAAAGATCTTGATTGATTCTTGCACACCTCGCCTTGTAAATTATACTTCTATTGCATTATTGCATTGAGCACCGTTATATTTGTTTTTGCATGTAAGACTTTTATACTCTCTCCCGCGTTTACACGTAGATTTTTGAATATTAGTATTATAATAAGTTGTAGTGAAAAAACAAAAATATCCCTATTAATATTGTCTAATATAAAAGTAATGACATTTGTGTAATATAATGTAAGTTGGAAATGTATTTATTATGTTAGTAGATAGTACAATTACTAAATTAGGAAATGATAACCTTATTTTGGAACGAACGAAAAATAAAAAACGACAACCTTTTAATGAGACGAAAGAAGTATTATATTTTAATGCTAATCAATTCAATAATCATTTAATTTATTATTAAAATATGTTTTTTAGGCATTTTGTTGAAATTATATAATATAATATAATATACTAATTATAAGAAAGTCTTCTATCTAATGCACTAGAAAGCAAACTTCAGTGAAAAAAGAAAGTTATGATTACTTCTACTCTATAAAGGGGTAAGATATTGTATAATGTGATCAACATACAATAGAATAAATGAACTAAGATGAAGAACTACATCATGCATTTTGGATAATTGTTTAAGTAGTAGTAATGAACTAAGATGAAGAAACTACATCATGCATTTTGGATAATTGTTTAAGTAGTAGTAAAGAAGGTGAACATGAAGAAATTACTTATCGGATTTCGAATATATATTCATGAGAGTATAGTAATCTAATTATTTTTACTATATAATTATTTATGAACTATAATCATATACATATATATATTTTTAACATTTTATTAGTTTGACCGATAATTATAAGGTTAATTTATACATTTTTCTTATACATCTTTATTGTAATATTGTACACATAATAATTTTTATGGGTATATCTTTAAATTTTTATATGACTATCCCCTATCTTACTATGTATTTTATAAATTGACAACTATGTAACGCTATCTAATATTGATAATTATAAACATCCCATTGAACCTTATTTATACTAGTGTTAAGTGTTAGCCCGTAAGGGATGGTCTGGTGATGTAGGGGTTGGACTTATGACTGTGAGGTCATGGGTTCAAACCCTCGACGCCTCAGGTCACCTGCCACACATGGTTCGCCTAGTTTGATTTGCCTATTGGGCCTAGTTTGCACGGTATTAGGTTTGGCCGGGGGTTTACCCAGTACGTATTTTCGAGCTTAACTAACCCCACACTAGTGTTAAGTGTTAACCAATAACATTAAATCGTAATACTTATACTACACTCGTCTTCTAAATGATTGAGAGAAAACTGTGGATTTCATAATTTTTGTTCTTCCCTGCCCATAGATAGTATCATGATCTGGATATGTATATATATATATATAGAGAAATGCAACTAGTTATTATTATGTTAGAACTTTGTATGCAAAAAAGAGAACTTACGGGTAGAGGAGGCGAGAAGGAAATTAGGTGGCTTTGGAGAACACCAATGCTAACGGACAAAATCACATAGTTTGCTTCGTAAATGCAACCATCCTCCGTTTTAACCGAAACGCCGTTTCTCGAGTGTTGCAATTCCCGAACCACCTGCCCCACCAAAACAAAATCACTCTCTATTTAATTCAATCCATATCTATCATCTATACACACAAACACAAACATATTCTAGCCTTATCATATCAATTAAGAACATAAAAGCCAATAAATAGCATTCCATTTAGTTGCAGATAAGTAATGGCCTTGCCCTTCTTCATTCTCGGGTGCTTGCTTTGGCTCTTTGTCAATTCTATCATTCTTTGAAACAACTTTGTCATCAAGGTTGAAATCCGGAAATTGACTTAGAAAGTCAGTTTTGTCCATCCACATGGTATCATCGGCACAATGTCCTATCCATTTCACCAATAATGGTCGTTGCGCATAGGGATCATGTCTCCCGAACTCCAGGCTAGTACCTCTTCAAGCTTAAGCGCTGGTTCCACAGGAAGTTCGAGGCTCTCCGGTAGTTCAATTTAAACTGGATGGTCTCCTAGCATGCGGCATAGCTGCGACACATGAAATACGGGGTGGATACGGCTACTGGCTGGCAGGGCAAGTCTATAGGCCGAAGGGCCAACCTATACTGCGACTAGGAAGGGTCCACAAAACTTGGAGATAGTTTGTGGGAATTTCTACGAATTAAGATAGATTGACGATGGGGGTGTACCTTTCGGAACACCTTTTCGCATACCTGGAACGCCACCTCCCGACGATGCTTGTTAGTTGTTTTACCATATTCTGCTGAGCTCTCTCTAAATTTATCTTTTAGCCGAGCCATTATGATGTTGCGGTTTTGAAGAACCTCGTGTACGGCCGCCCTCTAGCATTCCCAAAGAAGGAACCGCCGGATGAAAGGTGGGGGTCGGTCGTACACCACCTTGAATGGAGCAAGGTGGGCTGTTGTCTGAAATGCACTGTTGTTCCAAAATTCAGCTCACGGAAGCCACTGTAACCATTGCTTTGGTTGCTCGCAAGTGAAACAACGTAAGTACATCTCTAAGATTTGGTTCAAGATTTCCGTCTGACCATCGGTTTCACGGTGGTACGTAGAGCTGAAATTCAGACGTAGCCAGACAAACAAACAATTCCTTCAGAATGCTCTGACAAATAGTGAGTCGCGGTCTCTAACAATGGAGCGATGGACCCCATGAAGGCGTACAATCTCCTTAGTGAATACCTCTGCCACAACGCGAGCCGTAACAGGGGTTTGAGCGCAATGAAGTGACCGTACTTGGTCAAGCGATCTACCGCGACAGAAACTGAAGTGTACCCCTTGGACTTAGAGAGGAAAGTGATGAAGTCCATCGATATATCCTCTCAAATTAAATCGGGAATAGGCAACAGTTGAAGAAGTCCTGCCGGGGACAATGCTCGTACTTGACCTTCTGGAAAATGAGGCATTTGACGCTTTAAACTCAAGTTGGTGATGTAAAAGCCTCTCGAGTTTGGTAAAAGAAATATGATGTGATTGAATAGGGACTGACTTCATGACTAGACATCAATATCAAATTAATTCTCTAGACGTTTAATCCCTAAGAAAAAATTAAGATTTTGGCCAAATTAAAGTTTCTAATGGCATCAATCCCTTGTCGTAGGAACGTGCCAACGATCCTCTATCGCAACGATAGAAACTTTAATAAATTAAAGTTTTGGCCAAATTAGGATTTTTAATGAACACGATTCTCTGTCGCAGCGGCGGTGGCATTAAAGTAGGGTTTCTAATAATGGCGATCCTCTGTCGCGGAGACACCGACGATTCTCAATCGCTGTGGCGGCGCTTAACACTAAGAAATTAAATCCTAATAAGCAAACACTTCGGATAGATAATTAAATACCAAACCAAAAGCCTTGATCAAAACTAAAAGATTGATAGATATGCTGAATATATCTCAGTATGTTTCACCGGAAAATTCTAGCAATTGGACACCGAACGCAATTGCAGATGCAGCCAAAGTCGGCGGCAACAAAATTATTGACCATGTTGACCGAAAACATTGACCAAATATTGACCGACACTGATAACTCATATCCACTATTTATGATGATACTATTTGGTGGCAAATGTTTTTCAAATTAGAAATACGATGGTGGGAGTGGATCTCAGATTCAAAAAAAATAAAATTTTACCGTTGTGATGTACTTGGAGAAAACGTGAATTAGAATCTGTGTTTATTCTAGAAAAAACGTAGACTCTGATACCATGTAAAAATTCTAATTTCTAAGAAAAATTTCTAAGATTTATTAATAATCAAATTAAGGTCTATTTATAGACTTTATACAAAAGGCTCTGATACTATGCCCTCCTGAAGGTTTGTTATGAAATTCGGCCAATAGGATGGGGATCCAGTGTGAATTAGAGGCCAGCACAAGACGCCTCCTGGAAAACAACCGTCCCCCGACCAACTCAAAATCCGACTTACTGGCAGGATCGTTGTTAAGAGCTTGCACGATGTCACGCACAAACTCATCACGTTTAACTCGGGAAGAACGATTCATTCAGGCATGCTAAGGGCTGCCAAAGAAGGCTCCCCGTCATGCCGTGAAAGAGCGTTGTCTGTGGAGTTGGAGCTGCCTGACTTGTACTCAATCCTAAAGTCACACCACAACAACTTTGCCACCCAAAATTGTTGCAATGGAGTATCAATATGCTTTGTCAGCAAATGATTCATTCTGTGGTGGTCCATGTGACAATGAATCGACGGCTGACCAGGTAAAGACACTAGTGTTGTATCGTCTAGGCTAACCCCATTAATTCTCTCTTGTAGGCTGATCGAGAGAGGTGCACGTCAGATAGGGACTTGCTCAAATATGCTATAGGGTGTCGCTCTTGTATGAGCACGGCACTGATTCTAATACCGGAGGCGTCGCACTCATCACTAACTCTCGATCGAACTGGGGTATGGCAAGAATCGGCGCCTCAGTCAATGTTGTCTTGAGGCATAAGGAAACCTCTTCGGACGTCGGGGGCCATCTAAAAGGACCATTCACCTATTTCTTTAAGAGCGATATGAGCGGGCGGGCAATTAGACCGTATTACTTCACTTAGCGCCTGTAGTAGCCCGTCAAACCTAAGAACCCTCGAACCTTACGGACGGAGCGAGGGTACTTCTCAAGTATGATGCTAACCTTAGTAGGATCCATCGCCACTCCAGTCTGTGAAATAATGTGGCCTAAATACTCGACCTGAAGGCATCCAAAGGCTCACTTCTTTCGGTTTGTGTAAAACTGAGTTTTTGATAGTATGCGCAAGACTAACCGAAGCTAATCGCAGTGGTCTTCCCAGGAACGGTTGTACACCAAAATATCATTGAAGAAAACCAGCACAAACCGGCGCACATAAGGACGAAACAAATAATTTATGAAAGACTGAAATATCGTTGGGGCATTCTTCAACCCGAACGGCATTACAAAGAACTCGTGGTGTCTGCTGTGAGATCCAAATATGTTTTTGTGGATGTTAGAAATGACCACCCAAATATGGTGGTAGCCGGAGTGCAAGTCAATCTTGGAGATCACGACCGCTCCTGCCAAATTCATCTAATCTCCTAGATACTGTGGAATTGGGTACTTGTTCGGCACCGTGGTTTTATTGAGCTCTCAATAATCTACGCCAAACCGACAACTACCCTATTTCTTCTTAACTAAAAAAACTAAACTCGAGAATGGGCTGGAGCTCGGGTGGATATTATGCAACATGTCATCTACTAACCGCTCGATCTCATCTTTTAAGACATGGTTGTACCAGTAGGGTCAGACAGAGAGAGACTATAGTGGCCCCTAGGCTCAACTCTATTTCATAATCCGTCAGGAGAAAAAAGGGACATACCCTTTGGCTCTGTGAAGACTTCTGCGTGCTGGTCAAGGATATCATCCAGTTCTTCCGCAAATACGCTAGACAATTTTGCCGGCTCACCCTCTAGTAATATTGCCCAAAATTCCACCGTAGTAATCTTGATCAAGGTGCATAGGCTAACCAAATTCCGACACATCGATGGGTCCTTTTTTAATTCTATTTGTCACCCGGCCCATGTAAACTTTATTGTTAGGGAACGTCACCCAATATGGAGAGCCACAGTACTCCGAGAATGATATCAACGCCCCTTAGGGCAAACACATAGCAATCAACTATGATATCACAATATGGCAGTGAAATCGGAAACTGTGTACAAACACTCTCAGATTCTTGCCTGTGGCCATTATCCAACTGCACACCAAATCTACCTGTCTGATCCAGATGGAGTCGCGAAAAGATATAAAATTATAGTTTTGCCACTTTCGATCAGAACAATGACGGTGCATCCGTCAACTATCCAGCGCAGGCACATGGTCTGGGGACTGAAAATTCCAACCGTACAATAAATCGGAAATTTAGCCTCCTCATTGTTCGTATTTTGTTTCCTCTCAAGGGCATCATCTGGTTTGGTCACCTCATAGTACTCATATTTTTGGAGGTCCAATTCATATCCTTCTTCAACTACCATTACTACTCCCAATTGCTTCAGGGGACAGTCATGACCGGGAGGGAATGGTTTTTGACAACGAAAGCAGAGCCCTTTAGCCTGTAGGTCTACCAACTCCTTAAGTGTCAAACGGGTAATTTTGGCCGAGCTACTAGCGGCCGGGCGAATCTGTATTTATTCCGGACAAATATTTCATCCATTTGGATGAACCATTATGCATCTCCCTTATGCTCCCACAGGATGCCGCCAACCCGCTTCCCGCAGACAGTTGCAGGGAGGACCCCATGTATGGCGCAGAGGTGTTGAAGGATTGATTTCCACCGCTTGAGATAGACAAATTGTCCTCGATATCCCTATACAACCTCCTTGCCGTTTTCAGGTCATTTGGGTGCAATAATCGCAATGAGCCATCATAGTCCTCTTCAGCCCATTCATAAAATAACCGAGATAATGGTCGTCAGTGAGGCTGGGTACTTGAGTTGTCAATTGAACAAACAACGTAATATACTCCTCCACTGTTCCGGTTTTCCTAACCATAGATAATCTCTCAAATCGATTTCATTTGAATCGCATTTCGAAATACGTCACCACAACTTGCAAAAATTCTTCCCACGATAGTCCTGGCTTCCACGTTCTCAGCCACGTCAACCAATACAGGGTTAGGCCTTCCATGGCCACCACTGCCGACGTTACCTTCATCTCCGGTAAGGTGCAATTTAATTCAAATTGCTGTTCAGCCCTTGCTACCCAACCGATCGATCCGCCTTCATCGAATGTGAGCAATGGCGTTAGGGCCATACCTTTGTGGCCAGGAGTGTAGACCGGCGATACTACGGCCTTACCATGGGTCCGCGGGCTCGCCAGTGGCACAACCTGGGGCACGTTAAGCCCTCATGATGCTGCGTAAGATGTTCCGACTGATACGAAGCTCTTTTGCATCGCCTTCTGGAACGTCGATGATAACACGACCAGAGAAGCCGCGATCTCGGTTAACTGTAAACTGTTTCCGTCAGTTGCACATTGATTTCATCCAACTTATCTCTCATATCTTCTTGGTCGGCTTCTATGTTATCGATTTGTTTGCTCGGCAATCTTGTCACCAATTGATAGAACCAAGAATAATCAAACGAGAAAACCCGTTTGCCCAAAACAATCGATAGCTGAAAATTCCAAAACTTAATTGAATTCCCAATAAATGTAAAAAGAAAAAAACAACCCTAGACTTACTTATACCGTAAGTAGAACGCATACCCAATGAATTAATAAAATCCAAATATAATAAATGTCCAATTATTAATAATTAATCAAAGATTAAAATACTAGGATTACGAAGGCTAGCTCAATCCTATCCCCATCTTTGTAGACAAGTAATTGCCTTGACCGATCTTTATTCCTGGGTGTTGGCTCTCTATCACCCCACTTGATAATTGATTGCTAATAAGTGCTATAAATTAAAAAAATAAATAAATAAATAAGTTTTTTAAATTTAGCAACATGCCAAAATGTTATTATTCTTTGACATCAGGTAGGTTGGGTCAGATATCCAAAATTTCAGATTGTAGTATAAAATACTATCCGAATCCGACTCAACTTTTTTTGAGTACCCGGTATTCTTAAATTCGAATACCCTAATTTTATTTAATTATTTATGTGTTTAAAAGATAGTTTTTCATTTTTTTATTTATATAAATACACACTTTCATGCATGTTATATCATAAGTGCTAAACTTTTAAGTAATAATAAATCAAAATTTAGTAAATAAATAAAATAATGTATAGTGATATAAATCTACAATTATAAATTAACAATGACTATTGTTTTTTTCAACTATTACCTCTCTTGTAAAAGTATCATGGATTTTTAATATTAATTATTATATTAATACATAGCATAAATTAATAAGAAAAAAGGACAAAAATATCTCTAATAGTCTCTTATAATAAAAATATAATGATGTTTGTGGAATAAATTATAAAAATATAATAATATTTTTAATATTAAATATAATAACAAAACAAATAGTACACTTCTTAATGGGACATGGGTAAGTATTAGTTTTCTTAAATTAGAATTTTGAAATCTAAAAAAAAAAAAATTATATCTAGATCATTTTACATTAGAGAAAGATTTTTATTATTTTTATATTATTAATATCGTATTTAATTCATATTTATTATTGAAAAATACAGTATTGCTATATACACGTCGACGCTATGTAATATTTATTCATTTACACACAAACCTACGTATGTGTTATGTGAATGTTTTGTATGAATGGAGACATCTCTATATATATGTACCAATTCGTGAGGACAGATACCAATTTTTAATCAATCCATCACTCCTCCCTGCATCCATTCATTTACTCCCTACCACTAATTATTTTATTTATTACATTCCACTATATATATATATATATATATACATAACACATACATAAATACATATATACACATTACACGATATAGAATATATATATATATATTACATAACAAGTATAAGAATATAATAAATATAATATCTACTATTATATTTAAAATCTTATAATCCATCCAATCCCTATGGTCTATCTCTATTAATTACTATAACTATTAACAATCTAAGTTACAATATAATTTTTATTATTAATAGAGATAGATCGTAGGGGTTGGATTAAAGATTTTAAATATAATAGTAGATATTATATTTAATATTTTAAGAAAAAAACATTGAGTATCCGGATTTCGAGTATGAATTTTCATGCCCGATAGTGACCCAATGTTTTGAGCGGGTACTTGAAACCCAAATTCTTTATTTATATTTGTATTATATACATATATTATTTTTATTAAAAACACTGTTTCGATTAATCCAATTAGGTCGGGTTGGACCCGAATTAGCCGACCTGACTTTATGGGTTTCTAGTTTAAATGTTTAGTTTGATTGTGAAGAAAATTCTTCAAACAAACAGATTCTAATTAAGTTAAAGATAGACAAGAAACAGATTATGACGGCCATTAGGAACGCTAGACGGCACGGTATTAAAGTATAGCTCATTTCACGGAGTAAAAGATAATGAGAATTCAAATAAGAAGATGACGTTGAATTAGAGGTGTTAATTCGTATTTTCGGATCGTGTTTGTGTCGGGTTTAGCTATGGGGTAAACAAAAAAAACGGTCAAACTGAACTCGAAATTTGACCAGAAATCCTAAACCCGAACACAAGTTATTTTAGGTCAGGTTCAAATTGACTTGAATTAGTTTCAAGTCACCTGAAATTCGAATAAACCCGACCAGAAACAGATCCGAAAATTTAGAAAAAAATAAATTAATCTAAAACAAATTCATTTTTATTTTATTTTATATTTAAAATAATATAAATATTATAAATTAAAATAATAATTTAAATAATTTCAGGTCAACCTGAAACCTTACGTGATTTTTATATTTCAGAGTTATCAGGTCAACCCGAAACACAACCCGAATACAACACAAGTTTTTTTGTTTCGAGTTCAGATCAACCCGATTTTTTTTTAAACCGAAATACCCAAATTCGAACCTGAAAAATTTCAGGTCAAACATGTTCGATTTTTCGGATTGGGTTTAATTTCGACAACCCTACATTGAATCAGTCAACTTTATAAGACAACTCACATTGTAAGTGTGTTTAAGTAAACTAATCTGTCTAAGCGTTGAGTATGATTGGTTTTGAGTTTGTTACTAGAAATCTGATCAGTTAAGTGCGCTTTCTTCAACTCATTGGTCTAAATCTATTATAATCTAAAGATTTAATTTCCAGTGGTATGGTATTGTATAAATAATGGAGAACTGTTAGGTCCTCAATGGAAAAATCAAACACCATCCATAATATATATAAACAGCACACAATTTTATTATACACAATACATGCTTTTATAACAATGACAGGTGATGTTTCTTTATAGTTATAGCGTGTTGTACAATATATGGTGTGCTGAAATCAATTAGTATTTGTGTTGTATATGACTATAGCACGTGCGGTCAATTAATTACAAGTATTAATTGTACTGTATAAAACTAAAGCATTCACTGTTAGTTTATTTGTTATATTTGTATTATATGAATGTAAACTGTATGCTGTGCTGTCTGTAATAACATAGTATGTTGTCTGAGAACATACCGTGTGCTGTTGTATGTTGTTAGCATAGTACTGAATTTTTAAATTAAACACTCTATCCGGCGCCGTAAATAATGACATAGTATAATTGTATAATTGTACCTTGTTTAGTTTGAGGCGGTGGTCGGAGATTTGGCCGTCGAGTGTAGAAAGAAAGGTCTCTGCCATTTTATACAGCAAAAGCTCGTAACCTCTTTCATCAGCCACCATAAACTCCCTCTCCCCAAACTCGACGTACGTCGATATTGGCTCCACTTCTGTCAAAAATCAAAAACATTCTCAACACACCACACAGATCCATTGAAATCAAACTAATTAAAATTCACCTGCCATTTCGAAATCATGCAAAATAAAATCGATCGCCAGCTCTATTGGGGTCTTGGGAGCTCTGCAAAAGGTAATAATAATTGCATTTGTTCTAATAAATATCATGGAGGAACAGAGTCGAGTTGATATGTTGGTTGGTTCGTACGCCGGCGTTTGAAATTGAGAGGCATCCGCATCCGCATCTAATTGGTTCTGGTTTTGCAGGTTCTGAATAGCCGAATTCACCGCCTTCTGGTACGAATCCGCTGCTACACCGCTCGGAAATATCTTCCCACTACAACAACAAATTGAAAAACAAACAAACTCTAATTTAATCACCCAACAACAAACAAGAATTGTGCAGAGTATCTTATCTTGGTGCAGATCATTTTGAAACAACTTCCTCAATTAGCACATGAAGATGATCAGCAAAAGGTTGAAACAGAAAGTTCAAAACCCCCAGTTTACACAAAAATATTGCTCAGATTAAATCGGATATGAATTGAGTTGTTTTCAACCAGAATTGTGTTCTCCAAATTCAACAATCTTCCTTCGTAACGCGTATTGAGCAAAAGTTGCACGCAGGTCGGTCTATTTTAGTGCGTTTCTGAGTCCGTCAATGCATACCTGTTGTGCGACGCAAGCACTTTCTGCGTGTGCGTGTGCGTGTGCGTGTGCGTGTGTGTGTGTGTGAGAGAGAGAGAGAGAGAGATTCTCAATTGGAAGTTCCAAATCAATGAATCAATCAATGGAGAAATCAAACTCACCTTCGATCGTAGATATTGTAACGAGCGTTACTGTAATCGGAGAAACAGGTGCGCAGATTAAACTGGCGCGCAAGTTCCCAAACAGGATTGGACTGTTTTCCCCCGACACCAGCAATCCAACCGGCCCCGAGCTCCACCGTCACGCCGCCGAACTGCTCCTTCCTTATCCGGCCCCCAATCCTGTCCTCCGCCTCCAATATCACCACGTCTTCGACACCATTATCCGCCAGTACTTTCGCCGCCGTAATTCCTACTCAGTTTTCACAGATCACATCTTAATCACTGATGCATTCCCAAAACAGATCAAATTGCATGGAATATATATATATATATATATATATATCAAAACAAACAAACAAACTGCAGCGCTAATGGTTACTTGCCTGAAATACCGGCTCCGACTATGATAACAGAGCATCGCGTAGGATCCTCCATGGATGCGGCAGCTGCAGCGGTTGCAGTTGAGAGGACGAAGAAGATGAATTCGTATTTTGTGAGTGAAGGTAGTAAATATAGGAGTCTATATAGGTGGTGGTTAGAGACCGGTGCTTAAAGCCATTTTCAACCCATCACTTTTATTTATTAAGTTTTAATTATAGTAATTTTATTTTAATAATAACTCTATTTTTTACTATTATTTTTTAAATATTTAATTTTTTATTATTTTAAATAATTTTTTATTTTTATAATTTAAAATAATTTTTTAAAATTTAGAAAAATAAAAAATAAATTTAAAAATTAAAATTTAAAATTTAAAAATTAATTTTTTTCCATATTTATACTTGTTCGTTTTATTAGAATTTTGATTTGATTTTTTATTTTTCATAGAAAATTATATTGTTAATATAAAAATAATACTCCCTCTGTCATTCAATTGTGTGTTCATTTGACCGGATACGGGGTTTTAAGAAAAATATGTAAGAATAAAAATTTTTATTTTTTCTAGTAAAGAAAAGTGGTACTCCCTCTGTCCCAAAACTATAGTTTGGGTTATGTTTAACACGGATTTAAAGAATATTGATATTATATTGGTAGTGGGTGAAAAGTACGGGTAAAAGACTTTTGTTGCCCTTGTGAGTGTATTAGTATAAAAAGTAGTGACAATTGTGTAATAATAATGAAAAAGTAAGGATAGTTTCATAGTATGATTATTTATGAAAATGAGACTATTATTTTGGGACGGACAAAAATAGTAAATAAGACTATTGTACTGGGATGGGGAAGTATTTTTTTTACTATAAAATAAGAAACAAAAATAAATTTGGATGACAAAAAAAAAAATGAGAATAAATTTGAATAACGGAAGAAATATTATATATCCAATACTAATGATTAGTGTTAAAAAAAGTTTAAACAAACAAATTTTTACTTTTTATTATTTTTTTATTTTTACATCTGTGTTAATTTTAGTTTCACCATGATTTTGATTCATTGTATCAATTTAAGTCCATTAATCTTTAAAATTATAATTTTAATCTCTTATCAATTAATATAGTTGAGATTTAGTGTTTAATTATCATTTTCTTGAAAATTAATAAATATGATAATTATATGCATTGTCATACAAATAGAATATTATTAAAAAATAGTTTACAAAAATTATTTTCATTATAATATATATTAACAAAAGATGTATATATATATATATTTTTTATATTAACAATTTAATTAAGACAAACAACTAGCTAACAACCATGTTGTTTAGATGAATGAATTTAAAATTGAATGTTTAAATTTATTTTGAAAAAGGTTTGTTTGAAATAAAATATTTGCGTAAATATATTTGAAAATAATAATAATATAAATTAATGTAAATAATGAATGAAAATATGCTTTAGAATAAAAATTTACTTTAACCATTGTCATAAAAAATAAGCTCATATTTTGTAAAAATTAAATTTTTTATATTTTGTAATAATTATATTTATTAATTTTTATTGAAACAATGATTAATAACTAAAATTAAATTAATTTAATAAACAAGAGACCAAAATTATCATTTTAAAAATAGAGAAACTAAAATTGATTCATTACTGATAAAATGGATCAAAAGTGTATTTTACCACTTTTTTTTGTTGGTAATATTAAGGGTTAACAATGTGTTTGGATGACTAAAATAATATTCTCTCGGTCCGCTTCTAAGGGTTTAGAGTCACATTTATTTTTATCATTATTGTACTTAATATTAAAAATATTTTTATATTTGTATAATCTTTTATACAAATGTCCTCCTATTAGTATTATAAGAAACTAATTGAAGTATTTTTGCAATTTTTTTCTTAATTTGTACTATATTTTGATATAATAATTAATATTTAAAGATCAACATACAAAAAGTAAATGAGACCGTTGAAGCCGGACGAAATAAATACAATAATTATATTTGGGGGGAACGAATAGAGTATGTTTTAATATGGATTCTACCTTTTGTCAATTTTTTTCTTTTATAATAAAAATTCATAAAAAAAAAAAATGAGAGTATATTTTACTATTGAAAAGATTAAAGAAAAAAAAAGTTTTTACTAAAAAAAATTAATATAAATTTAGATGATAGAAAAAACTAAAACACTAGTATATTTGTTGTTTACTAGAAAAACAAATAAGAATATTTTTAGGGATATGCAAACAAAAAAATAAAAATAAAATCAATTTAACCGTTAGTTTCATTTGATTATTGGATGTATAATATATTAATCTTTCTAAGATGAAATATAATATCAGGTTTTTATACATTTGAAATGCCTGTCATTTTTTTTTTTAAATTATAAATGCAAATTGTTGAAAGAGTAGAATTTAAACAAATTAAAATTAAATAGTAGTTCATCAATCGCATTTAATTTGTCAACTATTTCTATTTTTGTTTATCTCGCATAATTTGTCATTTTATTTTCTGAAAATATAATTATACACATTAATCACATTATAAAATTCATAATTTATAATTTTTTTATTTTAATCACATTATCATAATCTTAATCTATAAATATTTTTATTAAATCATAATTATTTTCACTAATATATTTTTTAATTATTTACTAATTATATAATACTTAAAATTTTGTGTATAAACTAAATGAGACAATTTAAATGAATGGAACGAATATTAGAAAGCATAGGAGTCAAACAACTCAAAAATTATCATTATTGAGTAATAACATTAAACTTTAAGAAGGTGTTTGTACATGTAAATGAGAACATATAATTAGAAATTATATCATTTATTCTTATTTGGTTGAGTCCAATTATTGACAATTGAGAATTAAATCATTACATATTCTCTGATTTTAGAGGTATTTGGTACAAAGAATGAAATTGCAAATGAACGAGGATTAGATAATGGAATCACTCCAAAAAAATAGCTATTTGTAGCTACTATAAAACTGCTACAAATGACTATTTTTTGTAAATATTATTTGCAACGATTTTGTATTGGACTCTGACTGGTGCACATGTTTGAGTTACAAAAAATCTGACTGGTGCACATGCTTCAGTTACAAAAAATCTCTATACCAACTTTTTCCGTTACAAAAGGTGGACAGTCAACACACTTATAAAGCACATGAAAAATCTTGTTGTGACAATTTTTGTAACGCGAGCATTGTATTTTTAATTAATTCGTAGCAAACATGTCTCGTAATAAAAGAATTGTTACATTAAATTTTCATCTATTTGTAACTGCACTTGTAACGGTTTAAATTTCGTTACAATAGTTGGTTGTCAGAAAACTATTTTAAACGATATTGATTTTTTTGTACCGATATTTGTAACTGCCATAATTTCGTAACGAAAAGAGTTTAATAAAAAAAAAATTATCGGAACTGAAAACCTGTACGATTTGAGAAAATACTGCGAAATGACATTACAAAATATAAAGATATTACAGAAAATATCAGTTGTACCAAGTACGCACTGTCTAGGAACATAACTACTTCACAATTAGGCCTAACGTATACGACAAAACATAACAACAAACATACAAAAGAAAGTAGATAATGCAAGTTCAACTAACGGAAAGGACTCAGTTAGTATCAACCCACAAACAAAAGTTAATTATCATAGAATCACGTGCCACGCTGCCACGCCTCATGCAACATGAAAGGGAACATACAAGACAGTTATGAGCGATGAATGAGCTGCCAACATTGTGCAAAATTAAATAAGAATTTACTTGTGAGATGGTTAAGTTATAATATAAAAAGTCCTATATATATGGTTACATATATCCTTGAATGTCCAGTCGATTGCCTCAACACGGACAACCTCACCTAGTATTTGTGCTCCAAATATCGTCCATAGAATGAGCGCGGTCTCTAGAATAGTAGCAGCCCTGACAAAAATTTTCACTATGTCAATTGTATCACCTATGGACATACAAAAAATACATATGCATATCATCGGAAATAAAATACGACTCACAAAATATTTAATCGCTATAAAATATTAAAGAAAATAACTCAAAAATTTCAGCATATGTAAAATTGTAAAATATAGAACAATATATAATAATTATAGCATGGACTCTATTTTGATGACACCCAGACCAATATCCGTACAACATTACAATTATAAAACAACCAAAAATTAAATCAATTTATTTGATACATGTGAGAGTTGTTTGTTTAAACAACCAACTTAAACATGTATCAATTCAACAACAACAATTAATTGAGTGTCGGGTTGAATACTTTAAACGGGTTGAATAACCCAACCTTAACCCGACCTGTTGGGTTCGTGTTGACCCGTATACATAATGAAGTTGAAATTCTTGATTCAAATTCAATTATTTGTTGTCTTATTATGTTAGTTTTTGTTGGTTCTAGTGTAATGTGTACAATGGATTAGGTTGAATTACCTAAAATTTAACTTAGTTTAAACTATATATTGGCTAATTATTAAATTATAATTACAATACATATATAATAAATATATTAATTAATATTAATATATTGTAATTGAGTTGTCGTGTCAGATCCGAGTTGAGAGCCTCAACCTAACCCGATTCGTTTATTATCCTGTCGGATTTGTGTCAACCCATATATATAATTGGGTTGAAATCCTTGATCCAAACCCAATTATTTCGTATCGGGTTGTCATTTCGGGTAAATTTTTTATAGCTTTAGTGTAAACGTATCCAAATACCAAACAATTTGAATTATAACAAAAAGCAAAGCGGTTTAGGGATAAAATCAATTCACCCACCAGTGACAACACGATTTTGATATATATTCAAATACAGGGAATTTTAGTCGAAAACTTAGATGTAATGGTTATTGTGGGCGGTTAGATATAGCAAAAGTTTGTGGTTGTAGACCCTGAATCGTTTATCATAATTATTTATACTCTTTAACTGGTGCGTTTCCAGGTCGAACACAGGGATTTTAAGTCGCAAATTTAAATCAAGTATTGATCTCATGAAAGCGGCGGAAAAGTAGTAAACAGGCTCGCTCAAGGCGAGTCTCGATCTAAAACTATAGAAAG